AGATGGTGACGCGTATTTTATCTCTTTTAGGAAGATATTACTACGTTTTATTTAGAGTCTAACCTTTTCTTAGACTTCATCATCATTTATCTATCTGAATCTAAAAATCGTATTTTAGCGGTGCACTCTACCACGACTAATATTTGTACGTTGCTTGATTTATTCTTTATATTTTTGCAACCATAAATTCTCTCACTGTACAACATATCATATTATTGATATAACTAGCAAACTAGAATGTTAGGATAGGAACATCTTACATAATTAAAATTAGATCATTTATGACAATCTATTTTGCAACTATTTGAAATAATAGAATTTATGATGTTAGAGAAAACTCCCTAAATCCCATTTATCGCGAAATGAAAGTATGCCTAGATCTCGATTTTGTAGCCACGGTCATTATTCCCGTTAGAATTTTCACTTTAAGAAAAGTAGGGATTTTTTAATTGAGCACTAAGCTAAGTGTTGGAAAATAGACTATTAAAATGTACATAAGTACGATTGAGGATGATTATTAACTACAACTATGGTGTAAAATAGAATTTAGCAATTAAATTACCTTTTCAATCATGCAGATACTCAGAAATGACGACCCCAATTCTAGCATGCTGATATAATATCCTTTTATTAGTCTTTAAGAGTAGCAATAAATACTTGTATTCACGATACGATATACATAGAAACCCAAATGGGAGGAGGTTATATTTCATCTATATGTACAAATTGACATCTTTCTCCGTGATTTTTCAATTTTACATATTACTGTAATACCTCTTAGTATGCTGGAATAATTCATCACAGCATACTTAATACTGCACTAGAAAATTTTCAATGTTCTCATGATCTTATAATGACTGTAGGGCTGACAGTAAAACACTACTTAAGAAATATATTTGATAAGAGAAATACGAAATGCTTTGATATTATGAACTTAGGAATATCAAGAAAGTACTGTATTCGTTATCAAATACGTAAAACATTAAACCACAATTTAAATTTTCCATGGCGCTTATAATAGAGTGATTTTGATATCAATTTAAGGAGTACACCGCATAATTTAGGGACTGTAGACTATATTATAGGTCTACTATACAAATGCTCATGGCCATTGCTTAAACTAATCAAAAAGTTATTATAAGAAAAACTTTATATCAATTTATGAAAAGTGAACGTAGTTAGAATTGTAATTATGACGAAGGGCAGAGAAAGGTTTCGTCTTTGATCCCCGAATTGTGCTATGATAAATATGTATATTTATAATTGATCAAGAATTTTGATAGGACTCTAAATTTACGAATTGCGAAATAACAAATATACAGCAATAACTGCATTAATAGGACTTCATTAAGAAATGTTGCTGCAGTGATTAGAATCTTACAATAGGAATTCAAGGTAATATCATTAATAGGACTAGTTCTCAGAGAACTCTGAAAAATAGCAGCTAAACAAATTTTTAGAGAATGAAATAATCAATCATTAAGAATAAATTGGCATTTAAATCTCAAAAGTAAAAGTAATCTATGTATTAACCAGTATCTAGCCCAATAGTACTCACTATAGTAGAGACCGACATACCATCACGTTTATTCTTAGTAAGTATTATGAGAATATCACGGACGATTGCATCTTATATTCGTAGAGGCTATTCCCACATCCATTAACATTATATCGCTTTTTAAAGAAAGGATATTTGAGCAAATAATTGATTTATATTTTAAATGCTAATTTAACTATAGAATGTACATTCAGTTTAACTTATTCCTTTAATTATTAATTGTTAGAAATTGTTTCTATCAGAAGATAGGCAACAACTTCGATAAATTTGTTTTATTATAAATTCTAAGTAAGTGGTACATAATTAAAATTTTTATACTTTTACCAGACTAGCTTGAATAGCTAATAATAGTCATGATAACCTGAGCTACACTTGTATACAGAATTGAAGGTTCAGTTCTTATAATGTAAACAGAGAGAAATGGCTAGAAAGGAATCCTAAAACTAAAGTTATTATTTTGTCAAACTATGGATTGCTAGTGGCGAAGATAGAAATAATTTCTGGCTTAGTAACATGAATATTGAAATAAATATTGGTATATCTTATCCTTCATAAATATCTGAGAAATAATATTAAGTTCTTTTAGCTAACTGATTGTTTATTATTTTAAAATTATAAACCCATTGCTAATAAAGATGAATCTTATTAAGTTCAAAATGGCTACGATAGACTACACAAGATATGAGTGTAAGCATGTATGATATTAAACTATCTTTAAGAATTTACCTTATTGTAAATTGCAAGCTCCTTTGCTACTAAAGAAGATACTAACTGAGTCGAGAACGTATAAAAGGATTACTTGATAAGATATACCCTCTCACGTTATTAAAGTCTCTTTTTAATTTTACAACACGCGACTACGGCAATAGAATGCTAACTAAACTAAGGGTAGTCAATGATGTAGTATATTTTACCTCTAAGGTAAAAGAGCATCCAGAGTAAGTGTAGATTGCTAGAAATGCCTGGTTAGTGTTTCATGGTAGTTGATATTTAGTTAGAAGTGTTACGATTTCTATTCATCATAGATAATATGATAAAATAGGGTAAATTATTAGGGAATCCCATGATGTCACTCTGACTTAGGTTATGTTACAATAATATTAATTTTGGTGCATACTGTGTTGATAAATCGAATCACTTTGGTAACAACGTAATGAGGCTGATAGATATGTTTTTATTTGAAACACGTTTAATATTGATAAATATCGCAATAATTTGTTTTGTTCTTATGATACATAAATAGTTCGGCCTAATGATGTACGAATTTCACTAATTAAGTAACAAAAACACCGGTGATTTAAAATACCAATACAGAATGCAGTGAGTCGAGACAGACTGATTTTGACAAAATCTGAAAATCAAATGTAACAAGATTAAATTTCAGAACGTTTTAACGTCATAGTAAGCTTCACTCTGAAGAATTGTCGCAATTTACATTTAACAATGTTGTTAAATACTGCAGTACATTGAGCAGAAATAGGCAAGCTGGAGTTCGAGTCAAATTAGGCATTAGGGCAATGAAGGATAATTTACTTAGCATGTTAGAGATTATTTTACCACTAAATGGGATGTTTTATCAAGTTCTAAAGTTATTGTATTAATAATATATTGTTCAAATTAAAATATAACTTTAATCTTTTCTCTAATATTGCTTTAAAACAATTAATTAACCAACCGACTACAAATTCGTATTTCTATACACCTGATACAGTGGCTATTGCTAGATTTAAGGTTGAGGGAGAAAAGTGCAAAGCAGAGTTACAGACCCGTGTCAGTTGTTGAGAACGTTTTTTCCGGCAAAATCTTATAAGAAAAACCAATTATGATGAGCGAGCGATGCTAAAGATCAAGCAACTCACGCATACTGATATAGTATTAGGAATTTAAGATAAAATGCGACGAAGATCTTGTATAGAAGTGGCTATGGTTTAATAAATACAATCACACAATTACAGTCGAAGTTCACATAGAGTATTTGTTTGCGATCATTAATTAATTAAATCCTGATTGTACTATTTCCCATTTTATGGTTGCCTTGCTATTGTCCGTCTAGCAAAATATTTTCTATTACTTCATACCTGCTAAACATTTGAATATTCATGATTAATTTATATTATTTAATAATTTTCGATAATAGACAGTCTAAAATAAAGCAAATCGTAGGTCTACGACTGTATATTAACTTCATACCTATGTATCGTATACAGATTCGTTTCGGAAAAGTTTCGATTATTAGATATACAACTCAGCTGACTGTCTAGTAATTCAATTTTTATCTAATTCTAAAACCACATGATTACTAAAACCTCTACAGTAGATATATATGGCTGAGTAAACACATAAATATTAAAAATATCTTGGAATTTAGCTATATTTTTATTTCGTAGTAGCTAATAATTTTACGATTATGTATAGAAACTAAATTGGCAATTCGAGAAATAAAATTATTGGAAATATAATATATCTAACGATAGGCACATATCCATTAAAGAAGTGTTAAAAGTACTGTTTTAATGAAACTTTTTACGGATATACAGAAAATAATCTATAGAAAACTTAAAATTATTTTATAAAGCGAATGCATCTACATTTTGCAATTTTAAAAGTGGGATATAAAATCTATAAATATTATTATGCAAGTTCTTTTATTTGGAAAACCTATTTTCCGGCATTACAACTAAAAGAAAACTATCTCTTGAATCTAATTATTTTTTAATAGCGATGTTGATCAATAGAACAACAGATACTTAAAACACGTAGATACATTTATAAGAATCAGTCTTTTAAGTATTTCTCACTTGACACGCAGCACAACTTTGCTTATTAGTACGTACTTAGATGATATTCTTAAAGCTTAAAAGTGATGTCCTATTGGCAAAGCCACAAATATTATTCAGATTATATCCTAGATCAGCTATAGAAAGCTATATGTACATCAGTATACTGTTTTGCTAGAAATATATTGACCTGAAAACAGCCATTAAGTTTTCTATCCTACAACTAGTACTAGAATTGTACTGATCTTGTATCGCCACCAGAAATTAAAATAACTTGCATCCAGGACTACCTTCAAACTACTGATGCTGATACTACGATGGAGGAAGAAATTCCGGATACGTTCTTGCCATTTTTAAGCTTATCTTGGCCAATTTTGATCATTTACATATGTTTCTGCTGTTTGATGTTCATAGTTGGTTCATATGGTAACATAGTAGCCTTATTACGTTATAGAATTGGCATCAATTGGCAATTTCAAGCTGCCGAAGATTACGCTTACGTTTTAATCTTTCATCTGGCCTTAACGGACTTTATTTGCAGTATCGTGATTATACCTTTATACGTAGTGATTCTATTTATTGGTGCTCAATATCCTTTTATTAATCAGCTTTTCAAAAGTGGCCTGGTTGGAGTTTCATGTATACAAGGCTGTATACTGATAATAATGGCTGTCGATAAAGATGTAGTTCATTGTTACATGATCGATCAAATTAGTCGTGATCCAGTTAGATTTCGGAAAAAATATTATAAAAAAGCTATAGTGGTTTCCTGGATTCTAACTGTAACATTGATGGCTCTTAATGTTGGAAAATTTCTCTTCCCGTACGAAAAAGCAGACTGTTCAAAAACTCAGGTAAATTACGGTGATCTTTATGCTATTTATCAGTACCAAACTTTTAATCAAATATCGAGCTATCGTCATTTATAAAGACTATACTGTAATCAATTTCGAGTATATTTGACACCGGTAAATAGCTATTTCTAGCCAGGTTATTAATGTACAGATGTTATAGATATTAATAATGAAAGTTTACTTCTTATCATGATATCTATAAGTGATAGTGAAAATAAAGAGAAATCATGCAAAATTAATGGGCATTTAAAATTTAATAAATGCCAGTTTTAAGTGCAATGCAGTTGTTTGAAAAAGTTCTTACATAGATGTTATATAGGCTTTTAGACGAAAAGATTAAGTTTAGTACACATTTAATGTTTCTTTCTATAAGGTACTGTGCCAAATTTAATTTAGGGAAAATATCTCGATATTCTGCAAAGAGCAATAGATATTAATATCTTAACTATCTTGCTACTTAATTCAAGTTCTAACTTTAGCATAAAACATTCGATATTTATTTTAGTATGCAAGTATCACCTCTATTACTTATTGCACTAATGGAGTAAAACTATGTTGAATAATATGAAATTTCATCGCAAATACATAATTTGTGAATAGTGTGAGAAATAGAAGATTAAGAACTATAAAATAATTTGCTTGCTACAGTAGCGGTACTAATTCGGTTTCAGATCAGCTTCATATTTTATATTTTGTATTTGATGGTGAGATGGTCATTAATACTTTAACTTAGTTAATCGAGTAAGAATTATTTTCATATATGAAGTTAATTGATACATTGCAATAATTTCTTGCGCTAGGATTGCACGATTTCTGCGATATCTTTTTTCACCATTCCTCTACTAATCTGGAATGTCGTCAGTTTGTCATTGGCAATCATTAGTACTGTAATTTTATCCATTTATCAGCAAATTGTCTCGAGAATATCCAGCTATCAATACCATTTGGATATGTCAAGGAATAGGTCACTTAAATGAAGAAAATTTAATCTTAAGGTTTTGTATGTAAATGAGAGCTACATAAGATATTGTTTGCTTAAGTAAGAGTAGTATACTTGCTTTCAAATATATTTCTCACCCAATTTCCTTCTAAGTACCGATAACTGTAAATAATTATCCAATCAGAAAAACTCATCATTGTAGGTTGCTAGATTAGCTGATATACTCCTTTTATCACACAGATTTATGTAGCTGCGGCAATTGTTGCATTGAGTTGCAAAGCGCCTTTAGCAATAATTGAGATTATACCTCCGTATGAGACATCGACAAGCATTAATTCTCACCGTATAATTATCTTACACTTGGCAGCTATGGCGACAGCTCTGATAAATCCTGTTCTCTACTACATTTTTGATGAAAATTACCGCAAAAAATGTTGCTACAAACCTCAATCGCTAGATCGATATCGACAACCAGACCTTAAATTGGCGGAATTGGACCTACCAGATTCTACCTGTGAAATTGCCGTATAGTAAAGATGTCAAAAATTAAGGTACCTATTTACTATCGTATAGCATTTGTATTCTAGCCTCTAAAGTTATAGTTTCTTCTCCTTTAAAGAATTTAGTATCAATTACTATAGAGATTATATAAAATTTAATGCTAGATAGTAAAATATGTATGTCGCCCACCGCATGCATAGTAACCTTTATCTATCCCAAAATATTTGAATTAAAGGCATTTAATCAGAATAAATACCGTCATATACAGCTAATATGAAATCGATTAAAATGTTTCTGAATAATGCTAATAAGTCGATTCGTATTTTACTCCTGATATTCATAGATTTAAAATCTATCAAAATATTTTACTGATAGCTTAAATAAAATTTTATGAATTAATTATTGACTCATTAATTTCAGATGACACGAAAGAATTGCCTGATCTTATTCTCTAATGAATTTAAATTTCTTAGAGTAGGATTTTGTGAAAGCTTTGAAGTTTTTGCCATCTGGCAGACTTCCTTTTAGATTGTATTCAGTGCATATTTAGTAATCAAAAACCTGAGTGATTACAGTATATTAATAAGATAGTTTCAATAAGTCACTCTATAAAAATAATTTTCTTATGCTAGCGACCAATTGGTATCAAGAAAATTTATTTAGTTAAACCTGCACGGATAATTTGCCCAATAATTTAATAATGTACTAGAAAAGATATGTGAACTAACGGCCTAATAACTGATTAGACAGATAGCATTTGAGCTGCATTAAAATCGCTGACTACGCTAATTAATCTTAGTTAACATCTCTTTTAAGAACAATTTCTGAAATTGAATTATTTTCTTTGAGTACGCCATATTGTGCTAATTCTCTATGTCGGTATTTAGTTACAATTTCAATAACGATAGTGCTCATGATTGCTAAAAATTACCTAAAATTCTTAAAATTGGTGCAAACAATTTCTGTTGCTCACATTTTTTCATCATCTTTGCTCGAAGAAACAAAAACTATTTCGAATTGTTTTGAAAATCAGATAGCCTTTTGATTAGGCGAGGATCTCCAGCATAATTTTCAATATCTACCAGGGTACATTATTTCCCTACGTAACAAATAGGAATATATTTAAAGGGAAAATAATTACGAACCGACAATTTGTCGATAGAACACCTACCTTATTTACATTTAATTAGCCATCCTTTTCCTTTATATAGTTTATTTCTATTGTGACACTATATATTGTAAATTTTTCAGGCGCCAGTGAGGTTTTAATGGTTGATAACTTACAATTAATATTAGTAATAGTTGTTTGTATCCTTAATGCGAGCAAATGAAAATATAGGTTCATAAATTTGTATCATAATCATAAAGAGCCTTATGTCTTGCTTAAGTCCTAATTGAATATGCTGTAGGATTGTAATGTGGCAGACTATATCTTATTCTGCATAAGTTTACTAAACCACAATAAAGGTAGGCCTACGAACTTAAGATAAAGATCTGCTTTTATTACAATATTTAAAAAGGTGCGTGTCGGCTAGTCTATAATAGTAGAACTGCAAAACACGCGATAATATCTCTAAACTTCTACGACTCTGTCTCTAAATCAATCAACAAAGGTTATCCTTATATATGTTCGATGTTTACGTGGAGCCTAGCAAATATTTCCCACTGGCTTATAATTGTGGAAAGCAATCATGAACATAAAGTTAAAGGTTCAAATGTTGCATATCTTAGATAAATGTTTGCTACGCTCTATGGAGTTGATTTATTGAAGTAAATTTCGCCTTAATAATCTTTACTCTTAGGATATAATGAAAGAGTACTTGTATAATAAGTCTTATTTATCATCTACAAAAATTCGAGCTTTTATGTAATGAAAACCCTTACAAATAAAATCGTTAGCAAGTTTGCATTTAGAGTTCTTATTAAAAGCAATACAGCGCTATTATTCGTAGTAGATTTATATAATTGAGTCTTTATAAAGCTAGTAGATGTTAATAATGCTGTAATGTAACAATACTATTTAATTTCAGGTATTATAATACGAGCAAACCAAAATCACTAACCCAAAACTTAAATCGCTAACGTATGATAATGAATAATTGCGCCATAAAAATGGAAAGATAAATATAATCTACTGGATAGGTTAATTCATATTATAAATATCTGATTATTTAGTTGAGATCTTTAAATGAAAGATAATGCAAAAATGTAAGAATAATTTTATATCGATAACAATAAGTATGATTAATATATCTTTTTGTTATTAAATGGTATGCATTTTAAATTTAGGGGTACCAAATATAATGGATCTACCGAAATAGCGTTTCTTTAGAATTAGAAAATAGCTACGCAATTTCTGCTAAATTTTTGAAATTAATAGACTTTATGATCAATTCATACCAGATATTTTATATATTTTTTAAAAGGATTAGTAATATTTGCAATACCTCTGATGTTGTGGATCTCGAAAATTGATTACTGAAAAGCACCAATAAGACAGTATATCTATTGCCTTATATAGTAATAGAATGCTGCACCTGGGGAAAAATTAGCAAGAATTCATAGTAATTTGATCGTTTGCTATCAGTAATGGTGATTAATGTCATAGTAAAAAATTTTATTGTCTAGCTTAAAAAAGAATCACAAGTTAAGAGATCTTCTCATAAATATCGATTATTTCTATCAAAAATTTGATAGCAAATATAGTGATTATTAAATCTGTATGAATTTATTTTATGATCATATTTCTCTAAAGTTAGCATCTACCTCATGTATTTTCTGAATCAACTATCATAAACTATCGATTAAATTGTCATATCAAATGAACTCATTCATATTATAGAACGCTATTCTGAATACTAATCTAACCTAATTTAGATACTGCAAGATATCCAAGCCAAATTGTATTAGCTCATGTCGCCAAGTATGTAAGTATACTAAGATGCTGGCAGGTGTTACATCTGTTACTGTATTCTAATTATTGTTACCTGAATTGCCGTAACATTCACCAGCGAAATTATAAAAAAGCTGCCAGTAAATAACAAATTAGCCATACTCAACATTATTATATCATATTTTATGCCAATTAATATCCAATATAATTGCTGATGGGTTGACAATCTTGAAGGGTATTAGTTCCAATTTGCTGTACAAATTGAACTATTTAACATTACTCTTGATCAGGATTGTGTATGATAAAGTACGGTATTATACAATATTATTTGATTCAATAACGCTATAACTATTTCATCTTTAATTTATTATGTAATCTATATTTAGTATAAAATCAGTGGGATGATAACATGAAATCTCAAATTGCGCTAATTATGAAGTTATTATTGTTTTACTCATCGCTCAGCATAAATTTGCTTTAATTGAATTAAGTTGATATCCAATAAAATATGAAACGTAAAAGTAACAATTTTAATTCTGAGGCAATAATGAGAATCTAAAAGCTATGGCAATCTATATACCATAATTTGTAATTATCTATTTTCGTCACAAAGTGTATTTATTTTTGTATAAATTCTATAGCCACACAGATTATTACGTCAATCTTCGATTTGCGGGTACAGTTAGCTATTAAGCGTATCAACTGTGATATTTCATAAGCATTTTATTACAAGATACTGCACTGAGAAAATGCATTGGCAAATCATATTAGCAACAATTTCCTGCCTGTACATTTGCCTATCGAAAGCCGAAAATGAAAATTTTTCGCTATTCTTTGATGAGAATTTGGATTTATTATTGCTGGATCCTAACTGCATGAAAAACTCAACTTCAAGTTATAGTTGTATTGATAGATGTAATGAAACCTATGTAAGAAGTCAAAGTTGCAATTGCGACGTTGATTGTGTAAAATATCATGATTGCTGTTTCGATTATGCTCATTATTGTATTGACCAACGAAGTGATCTATCCTCTGTTTTGTCGTCCAATACTTCCAAGGAGTGGTTCGATTTAAATTTAAGTAAATCAAAAAAAAAATTGCCCGTGCTTGAATGTACTGTTAAATCTGTTCTAATACTCGGATCATGTCCTGAAAACTGGCCAAATGATATTATTCGCTCTAAATGTGAAAATCCATCAATAACAAATTTTGATTATTATTCATCGGTGCCAGTCTATCAACGCTCCAGTAGCAACAATTACCGCAACTTTTATTGCGCTATCTGCAATGGGGCAGATATCAAATTATTGCAATATTGGACAACTAAAACGATTTGCAGTAATGGATCATTAGCCCGTAAATTGAAATTTATAGACTACGTTAAGCAATATTGTAAGCCATTAAACAGTATACATGATTACATGCCTCCAGATGCATCAAAATCACGATATTGCGTTGAAAGTTCACGGTGTAATGAAATTGATGCCATGAGAATTATCGGCGAAGAAACCTTACGGCAGAATATTGTTAGGAGCTGTCAAGAAGCAGCTGCGTATGTTCACTTTAAAGGAACAATTTATAAAAATCCTTATTGTGCTCGATGTAGCAGTTATTCATTTTTAGAGTGCATGAATACTTATTATCCTGCACCTTTTATTGAACCGAGTTATAGCGATCAGAATTCACCGTCAGGCTCTGTTATCATGTTGATCGATTTCTCGAATACAGGCCGATTTCTTTATACTGCTCAAAAAGGTAATAAAGTAGTTATTTATGCTGGCCATTGTCAACAAGGTTACTACTATGATCCATTACAAATGCGCTGCCAAGAGGTACTTTCCTATAACCGATCTAATTGGAGTGATCGCAATGATAGCGATTGTGACGGGGATTTTCCTCAATTTTGTAATTATACACAAGGTCAAATTATTCATAATTGCTCTTCAGGCATAAGGCTCAATTCTACGCAATTTATTGTTATTAATACAACTCATATCCTACGATACAGCGATAATATTACTTATCCTATTCGATCAATTCATCGATCATATCTAACAAATAATGAAACTGTCATCTATATCTGTTATAATCCTCTGCAAACTGATATTCTTCGCAAGACTATTTTTGAAATAATATCCTATAGCGGTTTTGCACTGTCTATTGGAGCATTCTTTTTTATCGTTATGACATACTGTTTGTTCTCTGAATTACGCACACATCCAGGTAAATGCGTTATGAATTTGTCTATGGCATTTTTCTTCATGTATATTTTACTACTAATAATTAAATTGATTGAACCAATTAATATGAAAAGTCATAACCTGCAATTTATTTGTATTGGACTAGCAGCGTTAACTCATTGCTTGTATCTGAGTTGTTTTACCTGGATGAATGTATTAACTTATGATATGTATACAAGCTTTACATCAATGCGTATTAGTTTCAACAGGAATACTAAGCGTTTATTTGCTTTATATTGTGCTTACGGATGGCTACTTCCTATAGCAGCAGTAAGCACCTTACTTATTCTAGATAGATTGAAAATTTATGATATTGGCTATGGTCTAGCTTCAACTCAATGTTGGATACGTAAATTTTCAGCAATTCTGTTGTTTGTTGTCATTCCTATGGCTTCTTTAACTACTATTAACTGCTTACTATATCTGATGACAGTGGTAACGATTTACAGAACTAGGCATAAGGCCAAAAAAATTGGGAAGAAGCATGGAATTGGTATTTCTGATTGTCGATTATACCTGTCCATGATAACTGTAGTCGGAGTGACGTGGTTAATTGGCATACTAGCTAATATTAAAGCAATGGCTTTAATGTGGTATCCCTATCTGATTCTGAACAATCTTCAAGGCATTTTCATGATTTTTGCTTTTATATTGAATCCGCGTGTGAGCAACTGTTACAAAAGATTATTATTTAGATGTACGAAAACGAAGGGAACTTCTATCATTCAACTAAGTAGGACTACTAAATCTTGATTAACTTATACTTATCCATCCTGTAATCAGATTGATTAGTATCGATATAAATATTATCTATAAGTACTTCCATTCGTAGCTGTGCATTACGCAACAACAATTAGAGATAGATATCTCTGTATCAATCTATTATAAACCATACAAAAGGAAATACCTTAAAATAGCTTATAGTATGGTGGCAGGTATCGCAGTATATATTAGATAATCCGCAATATCGAAATGGAGTATCCTTAAAATGATTTCTCATCGCTCGATAGCAACATTTTCTTATCTTGCAATTAATACTACTTTAAAATTATTTTAAGTGATTATTACATATTACTTTTCCATAGAAAAGGGTTGCTTGCGCTGACACTGCATTCTGTGTCCTGTTGAAATATATTGACGGTATGAAATACGGAAGCTAATATTCTATTATAATAATTATTTATACGAATTTATTTCAGATTTTCAGGTGTATATTTCGGACTAAATAAAATTAAAAAAAAATAAGGCTGTATCTCTAATTCTGGATATCTGATGCAAAATAAGCACTTTGATCTCTCGGAAGTGCTGTATAATTTGCGATATAGTTACTTTCTCTTTTAATTTGTTTGTTTGTTTCAAAGATATCTAAATTTTATTAGTGCAATTAACGAGCCATCAAATTAGTATTGCAAGATATCGTAGCACTTAATATAAAGCTATTTTTCAGGTCAAATTATAACAATGGCAAATAAAGCATCAAAATTTCATTATAATTAATTTTAATTAAATATACAGTATCATTTTTAGTTAAGAGGACTACCTACTGTACTATACATGCATGTTAAGATCGAAAGTAAAAACTTTAGCTAGATAATGTTGCTATCGTATTATTGTTCAGTCATAAATTATGTTGTTATAGGTAGTAGAGGCTTCAATGTACTGCCAGGTGCAACATCTGTTGACTGCTCTACTTCCCTATTATTAACTGATTAAAAATTAATTAAGTAAATCATAATGTACGAGTATAACAATTTTGTTACTGTTCTCGTACAAATAAATCTATCTTTCTACCATAATATTACCAGTAAATTCTTTAAAATTTATGGCCAATTGATAGCCAATGGATGAGTATGTTGCTTAAAGGAATTCCTAGGTGATTACGTAAAATTCTTCTAGTATAGCTACTTTAACGGATATTTTTAAGCTGCTGCAATGATGCAACTACTATTGAGATTAATTAAAGTGCGTTTGATTGCTGTAATAATTATATTATTACTGATACCGATTTTAAATGAAATGTGCTTATTACTTCTTTTCAGTCAGATATAAGTCGAATAAGCCGAACTTTTTTCAAGAAATTTAAATACCTACCTTACATTGTCTTTGTAAACTATTTAAGATATTGTCTGCATAACTTATAAATCGTATTATACCGTCTTATTTTTCATACAGCTGAGAAAACTTTTATGCGAGTCCGAATTTTAATAATTTTATTTATTATTTTCTTGATGTTGTATCATTTTGTTCTCCTCTTAATATAAAAAGTTAATACAAAACGTTTATACTGTAGCGTAGCATTTTTCATTAGCGATTTATGGATTTGTGTTTATTGCACTTTTAGAGAAAATATACTGCCGGTAGTATTTATCTCCATTGCTAAAAATTTCGACTTGGCTTATTAGATAAAATACCGATACCGCGACAATCATTTACTAATATAAGCGTATGTTATTTCAGGTAGCAGCTATAATTATCAAATAATTAATGTATCATGCAATTTTTTTTCTTGACTGTTATTATTGATCAATGAAGATATCGTAGCGAAGATGAGTTTGAAGGTTTAGTCATCTGTTTTCATTAATTTATTGCAAAGGTGTATGATAATCAAGCGGCATCAAGCTATATATTATATTAATAAAGATTTAGAAGCTTTCTAGATATTTCCGTTTATATCTAGATTTGAGTTAAGGTTCATAGAAATTCTTATTCATGTTAAGCACGAACAGATTATTCATTGTTATATGCAGCAAGTACCGTAATTTGGTGGATACGTATACTGAATCTGACGCAGTTCCGGAGTCTATCAAAACCGTTCTAGTGATACATTACTAATAAATAGACTAATTTATTTCTGATATTAGATTATTGTTCATCAGCTATACCAGAATAACCTTACTTCAAGCTTAAGATTAATTTAGTTACTAAATTTTTTCATTAAGACCTCCAAACAACAGCAAAAGCAAATATTACCGAGAAGAGTAATATAGGCTGGGTTTTCGCCGCCCACATGAACGTATCATAATATAGTATTTGCTTTACCGTTTACTACGTGAATTCTGCAAAGCTCCTAGACCGATAAATCAAACGGTGTTGTTTGATATCGTTAGAGCTGTTTTCTTTGTGAACAAGCAATAATGATTATGCTATCTAGCTCTTTTAGCAGTATCGATAATTATCTCTTGTCGGAAATTCTTTAAAATTTTTACAATATTGTCTTTACTTTTTATAACAGTTCCGACGTAATAATACATAATAATGAAAGGATATCTGAATTGACTGGTTTCGTAAATAAGAAAACTTAAATACAAGAAAACACATTGTGATCCATTGGGATTACTGATAAATAAGATATCTATAAAACTGCTGTTTTACGTTGTATTGGAGGCAGAAGTATTCCATATCGGTACTTTTCTACAGCATTAGCGAATATGATTAAGATTAGCATTTACAGCATTTATCATTTCAAGAAACTGGGTTGAATTGACGGTAGTTTCGTTTGGTTTTTACTTATTGATAATTACATCTTTACATGCCTTGCCTGATAGCAAAGTCAGCAGATAAAGTGTACGAAGTAGCTCATGTGTTCATTAATGTATAACTGTTACTTAACTCAACTTGCCTAATCTAAACTAATTAGATTACCCTAGATAAGTAACAATAACTGAGAAATGTACTTTCGGAATCTTCTAAGTATATCTTTATTCTACAAAATACAAATCTAATTTAATATTCAAAATCAATCATTTAGTTAGCTTTTTTGGCCATAAAACCGGTTTACGATGTGCGATATATTTCGACCAATAAGGCATCGTGAATACTTTAAATTATTCCTAGTCTAATCCAATGAATTTGTAATATTACTATAGATTAACTTTTTGTTTACCCTAGCTTATAATTAACAAGGATCCATATTGAATTTACCATAGACAATTCATATACCATATTCAGTATAATTTAACCTGTATTAGGAACAGGTTTGTATCGGCTATATTAAGTCATAAAATAATTCATGCACATATCCAAATTAATAACTATCTTCACGTGATACATTTACATGTCTAAATTAAGTAAGATATCATTCATTACGGTAGATTCACTACCGTGACAATAACACTAGACACTATAGACGATATTATAATATATATTTGTATTGGCAAACGACATAAAATACCTTTACTCAGAACTATATTCAAAATAGCATCTTATTCAGGGTATTCTATATCGATTGGGGGATTTGCATTTATCTTCATTACTTATTGCTTACTTCCCGAATTACGAAAATGTCTAGGTAAATGTGTCCTAAGCTTATCGTTCTCCTTTTTCTTCATGTATATCTTATTAATTGCTACAGAAATAGTGAAACCATTAAATTTAAAAAGATAATGTTTTACGGACTATCTGTATCGCCGTCGCAGTAATAACTCATTGTTTATATTTGAATTGATTTGCTTGGATGAATGTATTAACATACGATATGTATATCAGTTTTAGTAAGTTTCGTATTACATCTCAAAGTAAAGAAACAATTATAAGATACTGTATTTATAATTGGCTTCTACTAGTGACTGTAAAGATAATATTAGTAATATTAGATAGACTTGATACTTTAAGAACTGATTATGGCCAAGCAGAATCTCGATGTTGGATTGGTAATTCTTCGATAATCCTATACGTTGCTGTTATTCAAAAACGTATTATAGCTTTGATAAATTGTTTCTTATACATTACGGAAGTTGTTAATATTTATCGAACACGTACAAAGGCCAATAAGTTAGGTGAAAGGCATGATGGCAGTATTTCCGATTGTAAACTTTATTTATCTATGATAATAGTTGTTGGAGTTACATGATCTATTGATATGGTAGCTAATATTAAAGTTATGGTCTATTTGTGGTATTTAACTCGATATTGAACAATTTACAGGGCATAGTTATAGCATTGGCATTTTTATGTAATTGACGAGTGAGTAATAGTCATCGCAAGTTAATACATGAAATTATAGGCATAAATTTCACCTTGAATGTCATAGAATTTGGTAGTTTAACGAAATCAACTTCTCTAGCAATAGTCCAAAAAAACCTTTTCATGAATATTGAAGTATCATTATCTTAGAAAGCTGAGAAGAATATTAAAAGGAAATCTGATATTTAATACTTTGGGAGATTGCCGTATAGAGACTTTTACGAAGTAACTAATAACAGATCACATTAATCAATAAAATGTTATAATTAAGTAAGATAGAAACTGTTGATGTTCAGATATATTTTACGCCTACCAATTTAAGCGGAAATTCTATGATGAATCGCTTTTAGGAATTGCAATCACTAAGATAAGTTAAATTTAGTTATAATATTTACAATAAAATTACTATAAGCACCGTTCATTTACGTAGTCATAATATCAATGCTCTGTCTATTTTAAAATTAGTACTATGGTAAAATATGAAAATATACGGTACGTTATGTTACATTATCGCATTCGAAACTGATTTTAATAAACTTGAGATATCACTCCTGGTATCATATTCTTTAACTCATAAAATATTTCCTCTATTGTTCGTATATTATTATTACTAAAGCAGATGTCTATAATGATAAACTAATTTAATCGCCAGAGCTATGACTTTCAAAAAACAATTTATCTCGTTGCCTTAGTCACAAGGAAGTTATCAGAAATGATTACAATGCTAGTAGAACTAATAATATTAATGATGTTAATGACTATTATAGGTTTTCAGATGAAGAATTTTATAGCATTATCTACAGGCAGTTTAGGGTACTCGTATCAAATAATTACTGTCGAAATTAATTAAAAATCAACATTAGCAAAGTCGACTATAAGCTTAACTAATTCTACGCTGCTTCATTTATCTCAATAAATATTGGATTAGATATACGAAAAATCCGACATTTATTTTGCATCGTAGCCATCTTTTTGTTAGTCTGAAGTATATAATTTCGCTAGGGGTATTATTGCACTTATATTTATGCTAAGAACAACTGAACATTCCATTTCAATCTACTGTCCTTTTCTTAGAGGTTCTATTTTCATATTAGTAGCGGAAAGGTAGCTTTTTGTTAATAAATTTTTGATTTTATAGCCGAAAATTGATTATCTTATACGTCGATTAAAGAACCGAACGAAATTTTATCCCGAGCACGAACTGAATATTTGGCAATTACATAGATTTTACAATAAGAAGACAAAAATCCGAATAACTGTAACTGTAGATATGTTTATTACACCCCAACGAATTTTATGCTGAATAGACTATACGAGAACTTGCTTAGAGTTTAGGTTATACAAACTGTATATTGTCCCTGTTTAATAATGCAAGATTAAGATCGCTATTTTATTTATTCATACTTTAAATATGTATCGTGCAGTGTATCAAGTACACGTAGAATTTAGTAATCAAAAACCTAGAATTGACTAGTGATGACACGGATTTAACCAGCCTTTCATTTCGAAACATTAATAATAATACTTTGATTTTTTCCAGTAAGGGATAAATGATTAAAAAATAAGTCCTAAAATATAAAATATTTATCCTTCGTAATAATTTCAAAACTTCCGAACAATACATAAGCTTACAATTAGAAGAAATTGATTTTGGATTTAAGTGAAAATGATAGTAAACCATGTTAAGGCTAATCTCAATTAGCTACTTTATTTTAATATCTTTAAAGGAATGATTCTTAGTTATCATCCTGAAAACAAAATTATTCTGCTGAAAAAGTTACCATATCCCAGATATACGAGTGTAGAATGTAAAAATTAAAAAATTTTCCCAAAATTTAAGACGTAGGTTGTTTATAAATCAGACTTGCTACAACACTAAACTGACGCGTATTGTGTTTTAATTGATAACCGCTAATGTAATGAAGTAAGGGTGTGCGATGTAAAAATGCCTAAATAACTATTAGACGCAAATAATTTATAATCTATCAAATTTCTCATTGTCCATGATTTTATAGCAATTATTACAGTCAAATTTATGGAGAATTTTATTTGATGACTATCTGCTACTATAATTTCAAAGTATTTATTTAACTAGTGGCTGGTAGAACATTTTGACCGAACTGACCAACAAAATTACCACGTGGAGAATAATGAGCTACTAAATAGACGTTATTTCCAATAATGCTTCGGCCGCAACCTATGTGTGTAGTAGATTTCCATATCAGTTGTGTAAAATGTTTTGCCGCAGAAATGAATGAAGGCGACGAAAAATCATAGTTAGCGACCTCGCTATACCATATGCCAACCATTTGTGTAACATTAGCGGTAGAAGGATTGGCAAAATCTCCGTGATAGAGATTTTCGCCGTGAACAGTATCACTTGGATACATACTGCCAGTAGCTATAAGTTGATTTGCCCAAATTTCTGCAGATATTTGGAGCGGAGTTAACCATTGAAGGTCTGGAACACCATGTATGCGACGTAATCGGTTGTGCTCGTTCAAGCAGTCTTGCTGATAGGGTAGTAAATTTATTGGAGCTGTAAATTTTGGAATTGAAATGTGTTATGTAGGTTGGGTAACAAAGTAACTTTATTACGTTCAGATAATATATCTATAGCGAAATTTTAATCAATCTATTTAATTATTTACCTGAGGTGATAGTATCTATTCGTAATTGAAGCGTTTACATATGATAAAATTTGATAAAAGATTTTCTTATTAGAATTCAACTAATTCAACTGCGGCTTCCAAACATAATGATTTAATTTACTTTGTAGAGCGTCTAATGTATATTAAAAAACTGTTTTGAATACCTGTAGTATAATATGAAGCATTAAATCCACGACCTTGGTTGTAGTTGTCGGAATGAAAAACGATTAATAAGCGATTTGAGGAGGACGTTATTGAGGAAGGAATGTAAGTATCACATAAAGACTTTAGTAGTAGACTTTGAGCAGTTTCTCCATCGTAAACATTTATCCAGTCTTTGGAACAATTGGACGTAGTTGACGCTTGGATTTCCATAAAGTTCCATACTAATGTAATAACATGATTAGCGGGAGCTCTGATGAGGTATTGACAATCGATATTCAGTGGGTATAGACCAGGATAGTTAGGACTCATAATAATCCCTGCAGAGGAGTTATAGTCCGCATTGCAGATATCCACTGACACAGCTGTTACACGTGATAGCACAAACCAGAAGTAAATACCGGGGAAATTAAAAATATCAGTTACTATATAACGTAATCGTAGGTAAATTGAGAATGAGATAGAATTATATGTTGTATATTTTCAGAATTAAGTACCGATACTACAGTATTTGCAGTATTAGTACTCCGATTTATTTGCAACAGATCCATCAATGCAAAGCCGTAATGATATTATTAATATGACATATTCCAAGTTAGATATTCTATCAGTTAGCCGTTCATTTAGCAGAAGCCTAGATATCAGCCTATAACTAGTCTATTTGAAAAGCACTTACTCTCGTATCGGAAATGAAATCCTTTCATTTCTGTATCCCCATCGGTCGTGAATTCAAAGGTAAGAACAGATCTTGACGATAGGATAGAAGGAGGGAATTTTTTACCGCATGCTTTCAGTAGTCGTGCAGCACTCATATGACTGTCATCATATATTGAAATGAAGTCGTACATACAACCATTGGAAGGTTCTAACTCGAAATCTATCCAATTAATTTTCAAGCGTTGATTTGATGAAGTAAATATTTTAAATACGCAAAAGCTGAAGGTAGAATATTTTAACGGATATCCTGGACTTTTTATTTCCCCAGATGTTTGATGAATATTGGTTCCGCAAATAGCAGATGATGCAGTTGGAACTAGCGTCGGATCAGAAGTAACAGGAACTGTTAAAAAACATGAATCAAAGACGTTGAAGATTTTAGTCCAGTTGCAAATACGTACAGAAGTAAAAATTAGTGTCATTTATGCCTATAAATCACGCCATGAATAAAATAAGAATCACATATTAGTACAGATGTGGTAATCTTCTGAAGTGAATGCATGCAAATAACTATTCTCTATACTATTGTTCATATTTCATTCTTGATAGCAGCTTTTAAATGCAATTTTAACATTTCTATGTTTTTCTTATAACCTTTTGTCACATTGTAGCAATTTACCTCCCACATAATTTGCTAGAAAACCTTTTCTGGTTTCACTTTCATCGGTATGAAACTGTAAGATAAGAGTATTTTCTGTTGATGCTATTGCATTTGGAGGGGGTGTTCGTTCGCAAAATCTGCCCAATTTTGTCTGATTACTACGACCAACAACATCATATATAGTCAGACTATCGAATCCACATTGATAATCATCTTCGATAGCAAAATCTTGCCATGTTAAATTTATTTTGTAATTCGATGGAAGTTGAATTGTCATGTTACAATCTAATAAATTATCGTAATTGGATGGATAATTTTTACTGGCAATAGCGCCACTAATTGATGTAAATATTCTATTGCAGTAACCTATAACGATACAATAATTTCGTATTATTTCATCTGACATAATTGTGATTAGTATAAAATACGAAAAACTTACTTGCTGTCGTTAATGTTTCACAATTAATTCCAGAAAAATTAGGAATACAATGACAAGTGTAGCCGGTGGTATAATTATACTCACAGGTACCGCCATTTTGACATGGATTTGAATTACACGGAGGTGATACTATTTATACAATAAGAATTGAAATCAGAAAGTTCAAATTTGGCATTGAATTTCAGAAATTAAATAGCAGTGAAATTAAAAAGAGTAGTATCATTGAGAGCGTTTGAAATTTTTAAGAGCATGTATACTTGCTACGGTCATCACGGGAAATGGTCAATCACGGAAATTATATTTAAATCTTCAGTTTTTACTATTTTTATATCATCCTATGTGGTGAAAAGTTTCACTTCAAATGATATAACTTCCATTTGCATCTTTAGCTACTCTAAAGTAATATGAAAGATATCCAAAATAATTACTAGTATACGTGTAAGCTTACATTTATCGTAAATCTGTAATTTGACAGGCAAAACGTGTTGTTCAAGACACAAAACTTCTAGTCCATAAGATCGATTCATATACGATTGATGCAATACGCTAATGCTATACTAAGGCATAAAAACTTAAATCTTAATGGCCTTAAAGAAGACAATGCATATGAAAGTCATATTATTTAATGTGGGATTTTTCATCGTATAAGTTGATATAAAAAGCATAAGCAGCTTAAAGTTCAAATATGATTCCCGTGATTGACCGTAACATATGCGATTACATATTCATTACCTTAAAACTTTGGGGTTTGGACTAGAAAGTAACTTTATTGATTGATATTTTCTTACCAGTTGAATAATGGAGCTCAAAACCTTTTGCAGTTACTGATGTATCGGACAAGAACGAAACGATAACTTGATTAGACATGGAATATTGAAAACTAGGTAAAGCAGTTCCGCAAAGGGGAGGAAAAGTTATCGTCGTTCCATTGCTATTTTTATCGAAAATTGTCAACGAATCGTATGGGCAGTTTGGTTCATATTCCAAATCGAAATGCTTCCAGTTTAATTTCACCACAGAATTTGGATCAACTAGGATGGTATAGCTGCAGTCATTGTTGTTTGGATAATTGCTTGGATAATTCTGACTTGAAATTATACCAGTAGGTGTTAAAAATGTGGTATCACAACTACTCCCTACTTGATCATCAAAATAAAAGTAATTGAGGTTATCATCAATGTTATATTACTTTAGACTATTTTAAATTAAGATTACTTTATATCGAATTGATAGTGTACCCGATTTCGTATTTGCTTTTTGAATACATAATGATAAGAAGCATCTTTTATTTTGTAAACTACTTCCAGCACATTCTTTTCCGCCATTGGATGGAGGTGGGCTAGTACAGCTTCTAGATCGTTGTCTGACACCAAATCCACAACTTGCGCTGCATTTTGTCCATCTTGACCACTTGCTCCATTGTCCATCTGTACTTGAAGATTCGTATGCCCCAAGTATAGAGAAGATGCGATTCCAATAAATTTATGAACTAATTGCGGTTATAAGCGCTCATGCATATATTGTTGTTTAATTAAAATGAATTAATTTAAGTCGTACCATTCATATCTATCGGTCGATAGACTAGTTTGAATCCAAGCCTTTCAATTGAATCATCGGTAGCAAAATGGAGTAAGGCGGTATTGTGCGATGTAATAATCGAGTCAGGAATTTGATTTCCACAATAACTTCCAATTAATTTGGATCTGGTAGATGCACCATCGTATATGTTTAAATAATCAGCTGAACATTCTGTATCATATTTCTCGATATCAATTGATTGAAAATCAATTTTGATTTTATAACCACGTGGAACTTCTAAAGTTTCTAACCAATCTATGTTTCGGTAATATTTTTTGGTAATAGGATCAATTGGACTGTGAATAGTAACCGTTGAGCCTAGGAAAACAAACAGAAACAAGAATGTACCAAATTTGATAGAAAGGATCAGTCGATATAAACAATTGAGGTACTTACCCACACATGGAATTGTTGCCCCACATTCTTCCGATTGTAATTCTTCCCCTTGGCAATCCTTGCCATTACGCTGACGTGGAGGATTACTACAAGTTCTGCGACGAATACGTCTACCTCCTTTACCACAAGATCGCGAACAAGATGACCAATTTTCCCATGATGACCATACCCCATCCATATCTATTGGTTTCCAAAGCATTGATTAACAGACGAAAGTCCGATTAAGATCAGATAATGGCTATCAATTATGATTATTTTGCCTCTAATGCAAATGTATTCTTTTAATTGGATTGAATATAATTATGATTAGTTATTGTGGCAAAAAAAATATCCTGGCAAAGAGCTAAATTTTCTTATGGACTATCTAAATTGCTTCAATAACCCACCTGGGCATTCGCTATAAGAGCAATTGACTGTCTTATACCAGGGTTCGTTACTGCAACCGGATATGTTGAGACAGAATCGATAAATAACCTTACGGCATTTGAAATCACACGCTTTGTAATATTGCCAATCACTCCATCCTTGCGTGTCATTGACTGTTCATTTATTAAAATAAAAGTTCAGTATAGAACCAAAAGAAATATAATACTGCAAATTGGTGTAAAATTTAATTGCGTTTGATATACACTATGCACATATTAAATTAGCTTTTTATGCAAATATTGTCGCTATTTGAAAAGAGTCTACAAAGAAGTTAAATAACTATGTGTAATGAACTACAGAATTCTGGTAGCGGTAACTGCGCCTACGGCACTCAATTGGTAGAATATAAGTATTGGCTGACTTAGATTCTAAATCATAAAGAGAAAAATGGATATAAAATTTTAGGAGGGCATGTTCAGTTTACGTTTCATATCGGTAACTTGAAATAATTTTGCCACTTATTCCGTGATTTCAAATTTTTAGTTCATTTCAACTTTGTTTACTTATGTCGATAATATTATTTATAGACTAAGGTAACGTTTTCAATACTAGCTATTTGATCACTTTGTAATTCAATAGCACTACTATGAACATGAAATCTATTTGTAAATTTCTCTTATACTTGTCGTTAATAAGCGCTAATACTCTGCCAGCTTTTATTCCAATTATGGTTGAGCGGTATTTATGGGGTACTATGCATGTAATATCTTATTACGGAAAAAATGGCTTACCATTGCATGCATATAAGGTTTTAACTTTGTCAACATCTCCTGAACTCAAGCCATTTCGTTGTCCAATTTTGACAAAACCAGGATCCCTTAATGGCTCCATAGTTTTATGCCCATTTTTACTATAAGCATATAGTTCATAATGCATGATGGAACCATAATCATATGGTTTATTTAAGCTGTCAACTTCACCGCGAGTGTNTTTTCGAAGTTCACCTCTTGCCCTAAAATATAAAA